CGAGGGGATAAGGGCAGCCCCGACGCCTCGGGCTCCCTACCCACTCGCCCACTTGCCCCCTCTCTCCCTCGCTCTCCAGATCCCCTCCCCTCCTCAACCGAGCCCATCGCCGCCGCGTCTTTGTCATCTCTGCGGCCACCGTGCCTTCGACGCGGCCTGGCTGTGCTCGTCAGCATCGCCGTGGACTCCCGCATCTTTTGGAGCCACTGGAAGGAGTCGAGGAGCTCTGCATCGCCGGCCACGTCGTCGTCTTCCTCGGGTCACCGGCGATCCCCTTCTTCCCCGACGATGTTCTGCTGCTCCTAAGCATTCACGGGGCCACCCTGTGCCTGCTAGGTGAGCCTCCGCGTCGCTCCCTTCCCTCTCTTTCACGCTCTAGTGCGCTCCATCACTGTCCCCGCGGAGGTGAACTCCGCCGCCCGCCATGGCCGTCGCCCGCGCGTCGTGCGCGCTCCCGAGCCCCATCGCAAGTCACTGGCGTGCTCCAGGACGCGCGCAGCACCCAGACGCAGCCCCAACCGCACCCCTAGGCCGCTCCAGCCACGTTTCAAACGAGGCTCGAACACCACCGCGCCACGGCTTGTCGCCGGCGCCACTCCGGCCATCCCCGCCCCTGTTGCTTGCTCCATCGGACACGCCACATCGCCAGCTAGCTGTGGCCGCAAACCGCGCACGTTTTGGTGCCCCGTAGCGTTTTTCCGGCCGTCTCCGGCGATGAGCCGCCGCGGGAGAGGCTCGCCGGAGCTCTCTCTGGCGCCCCGCCTACGTGGACGGCCTGGGGCCACCACCTGGGTCGCTGACCTGTGGGCCCCAGGGGCCCGGCCTGCCTGTTGACCCGGTCCACCATGCTGACTGGACCGGCCCATGCAACTGAAAGATGGGGCTCACACCCCCCTAATTAACAAAGTTAATTAAGCTAATTTAATTAACCTAATTAGAGAGTGACAGGTGGGCCCCTTCTAATTAATTAACTTAGTTAGTTTAAGTTAACCTCTGTTAGCCCTACCGTCTATGAAAGATGGGACCCACTGGTCAGTTTGAGCAGTCAGCGGGTCTGTGACCTGCTGATGTCATGCTGACACTCTGCTGACGTCATATTTTCCTTTTGTGTTATTTTAAATAATTTCAGAATATGCTTTAATCTTTGAAAAATCATAGAAAATAAATCGTACCTCGGATGAAAATGTTTTCTATATGAAAGTTGCTCAGAAAAATCCAACGAATCCGAATACACGGTCCGTTCATCTGTCACATGCCCCTAGCATGCTGAACATGGGACATTCCCCCTCTGGTCATTTGTCTGACACAGGTCCGGAACCGGGAAAACATTCCCGGTTGAATCCCCCCTTCACCTATATAGTGTAGCCATACGTTACGTCACTCCCGGCACAACATATTGCCACGTTATGCTTTCTGATGCTATGTTTGCTTTATACTTACTGTTTCTTCCCCCTCTTCTCTCCGGTAGACCCCGAGACCGATGCCGCCCCTGTGATCGACTACGTCGACGACGACCCCTCCTTGCCAGAGCAACCAGGCAAGCCCCCCCTTTGATCATCCTGATATCGCCCATTCCATTCTCTCATGCTTGCATTAGATTTTGCTACTGTAATTGTTTGCTCCTATTCTGATGCATAGCCTGCGTTTGTATCTGTTGTTGTACCTTACCTGCTTATCCTAAACTGCTTAGTATAGGTTGGTTAGTGATCCATCAGTGACCCCCACCTTGTCATTGTTGCCCCTTCTTCATCATTGAAGACCCGATCAACGGGATCGAACACCAGGCCCCGGCACCGCACATCACTTTCCCCTTAGTTGCTGGACACTAATGGGTTACTATCGAGTGCCGAGGGTGAGACCGCTTCAGCACTTCTGATGTTAACATGTAGTGTAGCTATTCAGTCGTGGTCATCGAGGGTGATTTCCTCCTTAACCACTTCCGATACGGCTCTGTCGTTCAACCCCTCAAGTGTCAACCTCGAGGGTGGATCCTCTTACGTTCACCTTGATGATTACATCGAGTGGAATTCACCGGGGGTGATTCCTCGGGTTTTCCCCTTAATGTTTGGACACACGGATACTTGGACTTTACAACTGTTACTTGGAAAGGCGGGTCGACCCTGAGGGGTACCCGCGAGTGATGTGGGGTCGGGTTGACCTGGAAGGTGCCCGCGAGATAATTACGAGGCGTGGTCGGGCATTCCTAGCCCTTGCCGCAAGTCCTCGAGACGGGGCAACGGGGTCACATATCGTGAGTCTCTACTTGTTACCGCGTGCTCCTAATCCACTATGATTTGGATATTTGATCCGAGGGGCCTCTGGCCTGATAGCACTAACCATCACGTGGGCATAGTATGGGTGTTCTGCGTCATATGCATCAGCCGAAGCTTAATAGATGTCAGCGACTGAGCGGCGCGCGCCGGGTTGGACTGCGTAAGCACCTGCCTTGTTGAAGGAGGTAGCTAGGTCTGCTCACCCGCCGCCCATGCAACATGCAGGAGTTCCTAGGGAGATGGCCCATGACCCCTAGGGGCATATGTTTAGTCCGGCGTGCTGACCTCTCTATTAAGCCTAGGTCGGGTTGCGGCGTATTGTTTGGCCGAGGCCGGGCATGACCCAGGAAAGTGTGTCCGGCCGGAGTTAATCGAGCGTGGTGGGTAAGTTGGTGCACCCCTGCAGGGAAGAAAACATCTATCGATAGCCTGTCCTGTGGTAACGGACACTTGGAGTTGTATCCCGATCGATACAACTAGAACTAGATACTTGTGATGAGTAATGGATTGTGATGATAACTAGATAGTATGGCTCTAGGATTGCTTTCTCGCAGGGAGTCGAGAAAGGATCTCTGGCCGAGGTTGATAACACTGCTACTACTTTACTTTATGCTACTCTTATCTCTTATGATGCTGCGAGATGCTTGAAGATGCTGAAGATGCTAGTCTTCGATAGTACTAGGCCTTCTCTCTATTCTGGCATTTCTGCAGCCCAGTCCACATATACAGCCTTCCTTTGATAATGTTGCATATGTAGTGTAGATACTTTCTTGCGAGTACTTTGGATGAGTACTCACGGTTGCTTTGCTCCCCCTTTTCCCCCTTTTTTCTCCTTTCCGGTTGGTGCAACCAGATGTCGGAGCCCAGGAGCCAGATGCCACCGCCGATGCCTACTAATGCGTGGAGGCCCCCGACGACCAGGAGTAGTTAGGAGGCTCCCAGGCAGGAGGCCTTGCCTTTTCAATCGTAGATGCTTTTGTGCTGGCCTTCTTAAGGAAAACTTGTCTAACTTATGTCTGTACTTAGATATTGTTGCTTCCGCTGACTCTTGTAAAATCGAGCTTATGTATTCGAACCCTCGAGGCCCCTGGCTTGTAATATAAAGCTTGTATTGTGTTTAATTTGTGTCAAGGGATCCTTCTATAGCGTACCCATGGAGCATAATAGAGTATGAGATTGTATCTCGTTTTTGGCCATTCACGGCCATGGAATAAAATATTTCCTTAGCTTCTTTGATTCTTCCATGCTTGCAAAGGTAGTCCATGACTGAGCTGCAAGTAACAACGTTTGGCATACTACCTCGGCTTCTCATTACTTTCAACAACCTAAAGGCTTCTTTCAGCTGACCCGAAGTTAAAAATCCATGGATCAGGGTATTATATATCCTAACATGTGGTTGGACACCATTATGAACCATTGATCAAAGAACTACCTCTGCCGTGTCCATTGCTCTTGCTTTGCATAGCGCATCGATAAAGGAGTTATACGTCACCACATCAGGCACAACCCCCTGCTGCATCATTTCAGGGAGCAAATTGCATGCTTTGCTTATTTCACCCTCCTTCAAGAAGCCATCGATTACCAAGCTGTATAACACCACGCTGGGAGAGTGGTCAGATCCTTTTTCGGCCATCATCCGGAGCAAGTCAAGTGCAAGCTGGCTCCTACCACTGTCGCAGAAACTCTTGAGAATTACTGAGTAGGAGATGACATTAGGCAGGTCGTCGGGCATCCTGTGGAGCAGCACGCCCAAAGCGTCCTCCATTCGCTTCATGTCACAGAGGCACTTGAGTAAGCTGCTGTAGGTAACGACATCCGTCTTGATGCCTGTCTTGAGGAGGCGGCCGAAGAAGGCAGGCCCTAGGTCTGGGCGGCATGCTCGGTGGCAACACTCAATTAGTATGTTGTAGGTGTACATGGAGGGTGCTAGCACCTGGCGACGGCCTGCTCGGGCCATGCGGTTGAAGAGATCAATGGCGAGGGCAGGGCCATCGGTGCAGGCAGGTGAGGCCGGCGCACGCGCGAGGGCAGCAAATAAGTCGTTGAGTGCATGTACTGATACTGTGACAGGTTGGTGCAGCATTTCGTCGAACAGTTGGTGCGCGAGCTCTGGCCTGAGTGTCCCGAAGCCAAGATGGTCGTGGAGTTCGTTCAGCAGCTCGTTGGCGCATGAGGAAACGGAGCTGGAGAAAGAGCGGACCTGAAGGCGTGACATCGTCGCCGTCTATGTAATGCCCCGGATCCGATGCGCCAGGTGTCTGTCAGTTATTCGCCGTCATTGCCATGTCATTTGCTTGTGTGTTGCATTTTATCATGTCATCATGTGCATCTCATTTTGCATACGTGTTCGTCTCATGCATCCGAGCATTTTTCCCATTGTCCGTTTTGCAATCCGGCACTCCTATGTCCTCCGTTGTCCCCCTATTGTCTCTTGTTGTGAGCGGGTGTTAAACATTCTCGGAATGGACCGTGATTTGCCAAGCGGCCTTGGTACACCACCGGTAGACCGCCTGTCAAGTTTTGTTCCATTTGGAGGTCGTTTGATGCTCCAACGGTTAACCGCGTAGCCCGAACCCCCTTCTTTTGTGCAACCCAACACCCCTCCAAAGTGGCCCAATAAACCATCCAAACCCCCTCCATGCTCTCGGTCATTCGATCACGATCGTGTGGGCGAAAACCGCTCTCCATTTGGAGTCTCCTAGCTCCCTCTACCTATAAATATGTGCATCTCTCCCAAAAATCCCGCAGTCCAAACCCTAGCTTCTTCCTCCTCCCGCCGCCGGACATGTCCGCGTCGCCGCCGGACACATACAGCCGCCGCCTCAGTGAATCGCGTGCCGCCACGTCACTGCCGCCGGCCCCCCCTCTCTCCTCCGCCGCCAGGGCCCGCGGGGATCGAGCCGCCGCCCGCCACCGCCCGTGCGGACCCCGGCACAGGTCCGGCCGGCGGCCTCCCGCGCCGCTGCCCCGACCTCGCGCCGCCACCGCGCCTTCATCCCCGACCACCGTCGCTGGCGTCGCTCGCCCCTCGCCTCCACGCCGGCGTCCCCGATCCGGTTCACCGTCCCGCCGCCTCGGGCACCCGCGTGAGGCCGCCTAGCCTCCTATGCCGCCCCACTCCTCCGCCCGGCCGCCGGCGCCGCCCGAGCTCGCTGCCGCGCCGGTGCGCTGCCGTTGCCTCCGCCCCGCCGCCCGGTGCCGCCTCCCTACCCAGCCGGCCCTCCTTCTTCCGGATCCGGCCCTGGGAGCTCTGGCCGCCCTGGATCCGCCCATCCCCGGCGTCTCCCTCCTCTCCGGCGAGCTCTCCGACGAGATCCGGCCCTGCCTCGACTTCCGTGCCAAATTCAACCCTAGATCCGAAGGGTAAAATATCACTAAGTCCTTTTCTCTGTAACATTTTATGCCTCTGTTCATTGCATCATAACTCCGCATCCGTAGCTCCGTTTCATGCGCATGATATATTAAATTGTTCATCATGAGATTCTATTAATTTCATTCCATTGTGCCATGTTTGTTTGAGTTCATCTTGATGCCATAATCATCGTTGCAAGAGTGCTATATGATATTAAATGTTGTCTGTTAACAGAACTTGATGATTTGTCTTTTTCGTTGCATTTTTTGTGTGCATCCTATGAGCGTGAGCTCTACATGTGTTTTGTGCTACATCATGCCATCTTTACAGTGGTGCAATCCATGTATTTTGTGAGTCTTTTACTGAGTGCATCAAGCTCGTGAAGTAGGGTACTTGCTGTTGCTGTTTTGTTAGTCTGAATCTGCTATATCATGATGCTATGTAAACCTGCTCCTACAAGTCATTCTATACATAATCTGGAGATGTTCATTAAGGATGTTTTGTTATACATGCCATGCTCTATCCATCCATGTTCCTGGTTGCATTTATAGCCTGCTGTAGCTTGTTATTATCTTGCTCTCAAACTTGCCAAATAATGTTGCTGTCAGCCTGTTAACATTAAGTTCAATGTTGCCATGGTTGTTGTTAGTGATCCACGAACCCTATAAACTTGCTCTTGCCATGCTTAGCTTCATAAACATGTCTTCTTATTGTTGGTTACATTGGCATGCCATGTATTGCTCTGTCGTGAGTGGTATAAGCTCACCAACATGCCTACTTATTGTTGTTCCTGCCATGTATGAATCTGTCATATCATTTGCCATGTTTGCATGGATGATTCCATCTTTTATGTTGATCTTTAGAATTAGTTCAGTAAGGGAGTTTTGTTCTTTGTATTTAGTATTAACATGCCATGCCTTTTTTTGCCATGATAAGTTCCTGTAACATGTTGTTTGATAGTCCTAAACATTGCAACCTGATGTTACTTCTGCCAAGTCTGAAACTGTTATTATTTGCAATCTTGCCATGTCCTTTTGAGCATGTTATAGTGTTTTATGGACATAGCTAAGTATTCATGTTTTGTCATGCTTTACCTGTACTTCATGCCCATGCCTTTGGTTTTCACGTTGAGATGCTGTAGCATATTTTTTTGATGCTTGCTAGATGCCTTGTTGCCGTTTTGGATAGCTTCATCCGTTCGTCTGCTTCATGGACTCGTTCTTCTTCCTAGCGGGATTTCAGGCAAGATGATCGTCACCTTTGATCTCATTACTATCATTGCTATGCTAGTTGCTTCGTTCTATCGCTATTCCGCGCTTCCTATCACTTGTTCTTCAAGCCTCCCCAAATTGCCTTGAACCTCTAACCTTTGTCACCCTTCCTAGCAAACCGTTGTTTGGCTATGTTACCGCTTTTTCTTAGCCCCTCTTATAGCGTTGCTAGTTGCAGGTGAAGATGAAGATTGCTCCATGTTGGTTTATGTTTATGTTGGGATATCACAATATCTCTTATATTATTAATGCATCTATATACTTGGTAAAGGGTGGAAGGCTTGGCCTTATGCCTGGTGTTTTGTTCCACTCTTGCTGCCCTAGTTTCCGTCATATCGGTATTATGTGAAGGAAATATGCCCTAGAGGCAATAATAAAGTTATTATTTATTTCCTCATATCATGATAAATGTTTATTATTCATGCTAGAATTGTATTAACCGGAAAGATGATACATGTGTGAATACATAGACAAACATATAGTCACTAGTATGCCTCTACTTGACTAGCTCATTAATCAAAGATGGTTATGTTTCCTAACCATAGACATGTGTTGTCATTTGATTAATGGGATCACATCATTAGGAGAATGATGTGATTGACATGACCCATTCCGTTAGCCTATCACTTGATCGTTTAGTATGTTGCTATTGCTTTCTTCATGAGTTATACATGTTCCTGTAACTATGAGATTATGCAACTCCCGTTTATCGGAGGAACACTTCGGGTGCTACCAAACGTCACAACGTAACTGGGTGATTATAAAGGAGTACTACAGGTGTCTCCAAAGGTACATGTTGGGTTGGCGTATTTCGAGATTAGGTTTTGTCACTCCGATTGTCGGAGAGGTATCTCTGGGCCCTCTCGGTAATGCACGTCACTAGAAGCCTTGCAAGCAATGTGACTATTGAGTTAGTTGCGAGATGATGCATTATGTAACGAGTAAATAGAATTGCCCGTAACGAGATTGAACTAGGTATTGAGATACCGACGATCGAATCTCGGGCAAGTAACATACCGATGACAAAGGGAACAACGTATGTTGTTATGCGGTTTGACTGATAAAGATCTTCGTAGAATATGTAGGAGCCAATATGAGCATCCAGGTTCCGCTATTGGTTATTGACCGAGAATAGTTCTAGGTCATGTCTACATAGTTCTCGAACCCGTAGGGTCCGCACGCTTAACGTTACGATGACAGTTTTATTATGAGTTTATAAGTTTTGATGTACCGAAGTTTGTTTGGAGTCCCGGATGTGATCACGGACATGACGAGGAGTCTCGAAATGGTCGAGACATAAAGATTGATATATTGGAAGCCTATATTTGGACATCGGAATGGTTCCAGGTGAAATCGGGATTTTACCGGTACACCGGGGGGTTACCAGAACCCTCCCGGGGGTTAATGGGCCTTAGTGGGCCATGAGGGAGAAGAGGAGGGCCGGCCAGGGCAGGCCGCGTGCCCCCTCCCCCCTAGTCCGAATAGGACAAGGAAGGGGGGCGGCGCCCCCCTTTCCTCTTTCCCCTCCCCCTTTCCTTCTCCACCAAGGCAAGAGGGGGGAGTCCTACTCCCGGTGGGAGTAGGACTCCTCCAGGCGCACCCCTAGGGGGCCGGCCGCACCTCCCCCTCCCTCCTTTATATACGGGGGCAGGGGGGCACCCTAGAACACACAAGTTGATCTTCAAGATCGTTCCTTAGCCGTGTGCGGTGCCCCCCCCCCCTCCACCATATTCCACCTCGGTCATATCGTCGCGGAGTTTAGGCGAAGCCCTGCGCCGGTTGAACACCATCATCGTCACCACGCCGTCGTGCTGACGGAACTCATCCCCGACACTTTGCTGGATCGGAGTCCGGGGATCGTCATCGAGCTGAACATGTGCTGAACTCGGAGGTGCCGTATGTTCGGTACTTGGATCGGTCGGATCGTGAAGACGTACGACTACATCAACCGCGTTGTCATAATGCTTCCGCTTATGGTCTACGAGGGTACCTGGACAATACTCTCCCCTCTCGTTGCTATGCATCACCATGATCTTGCGTGTGCGTAGAAATTTTTTTGAAATTACTACGTTCCCCAACAGTGGCATCCGAGCCTGGTTTTATGCGTAGATGTCATATGCACGAGTATAACACAAGTGAGTTGTGGGCGATACAAGTCATACTGCTTACCAGCATGTCATACTTTGGCTCATCGGTATTGTGAGATGAAGCGGCCCGGACCGACATTACGCGTACGCTTACGTGAGACTGGTTTCACCGTTACGAGCACTCATGCTTAAAGGTGACTGGCGGGTGTCTGTCTCTCTCACTTTAGCTGAATCGAGTGTGGCTACGCCCGGTCCTTGCGAAGGTTAAAACAACACTAACTTGATGAACTATCATTGTGGTTTTAATGCGTAGGTAAGAACGGTTCTTGCTCAGCCCGTAGCAGCCACGTAAAATTTGCAACAACAAAGTAGAGGACGTCTAACTTGTTTTTGCAGGGCATGTTGTGATGTGATATGATCAAGACATGATGCTATATTTTATTGTATGAGATGATCATGTTTTGTAACCGAAGTTATCGACAACTGGCAGGAGCCATATGGTTGT